ACATAATTACAGTTATTGGCTTGGATGATGAACACAAAAGCCTGAAGGCGAGAGAAAGGGGTATACTGAGGACGTGAGGTTTGAAGGGGATAAACTTGCTGTAATTAACAACAGAGGCGAGAGATGATGAACCTTAGAAGTCAGCCTAAAGCCACATTGAAGTAATGGAAGACAGAGTAGACAGGAAGGCGCAAAGAAAATGAGGAGAGAGGGGAGATGCCACATATAACTCCAAATGGGTTTAATTTATCATTAGGGAGGGTTTCGGGCTTTCGAAAAATTTTATACTATTTATTATAGTCTATGGGACCTGGGCCAAGAATGGAAGTGAATTCATTTATGTTTCTGTGGGATATCACCCTAGAAAGTGTCCTTGTAGTTTAAAGTGATGGGAATTTAGTTAGCATCAGTTGTTCATAAGGGACATCTGAACTTGTTTTGAAAAATGACTGTTGGCAAAATGAGTTCTTTTCCCCATTTTATTTCTGTGTATCTTTTTCTGTACTTAATTCATTCTATTACGATGTGGAGCATTTCAGGTATTTACCCTCAAATTTTTATTCTTTCTGTACAAATCATTCACATTGTTTTCATATTCACAGGGGAAAAACGTCCCCTTCGGGATTTTTGCATTGTTAAAGTAAACAGAACTATTGTCTGAAAAATCTAAAAGACATTTTAAAATTTCCCCTTAATTTTTCTTTGTTCATAAAGACAAAAACTTTTGAAATTTTAAACCTCTGAGACTCTATGGGAACAGAAAGGATGAATTACTGTTTAGCTATGCATGAAAGGAGTTAGTTGTGAGCTATTAACTTCTAATTTATGTGAGAGAATCCTCCAGAATTCTCCCTTTGTGTACATAGTAATTAATCTATTACTGTAGCGCAATTAAGTGCTGACTATTTAATAAAAATAAAGATAATGAAAAGACCCTACACCTGTATACACCTCATGACTAGGACGAGCAAAAACATCATCAGCAACAAAGGAACTCACTATGAGTTCACAAAGGTAACTGAAACAACACATTTCAACTGAAAATACACACACACACACACACACACACACACACACGGTGGAGAACAGAGGAAGATTATTTTACTCACAAACACATAGTCCAGTCAAGAGTAAAATAAAATTTTGTCAACTGTGCATTCATTTATGCTACTAAATAAGAGGACTTAAGCTCTTATGGGTGTTTTGTTAAGAAATGTAACCTCCCAGTAGCCTGGTGTTTGAAAAATGAGTAGGACAGCTGAGAAGAGACTCTGACATTAACAGTCCCGCATCTCTCTTCCTTCTCAGAGGCAAGGTTTAACCCTTTTGAGCCCAAACCGCTTTGTCCCGTGGCCAGCACCGCTCCTAAGAGGAAATACTGACTCCTTAAAAATGGTAGCAAGAAAAAAAAAATGGTAGCAAGAGTGCATATTTTTAGAAATCTATTGATTTAAAACAACTTCCTGTCTCTGTCCCAATTTTGTCAAAGTCTTTGTAAATTTAATATGGTCTTTTTAAACAACTGGTCCTGTCCCAAATTTGGGGGGTTCAGACAGTCCATTAAGAATGCTTAAAATAACATTGCACTTTGCTGGTTATTCAGCAAAGAGTCTTACTGCTACTGTTTATCTTTACACCTCTTTAGAATGTGCTTGCCAACAGCAGGTCTGGTGATGCTGACAGTAAACTGGGATTCTCAAGCTCTGAATGGGCTACCTACTAGGCATTTTTTAAAATGCAGATTTTCAGTCACCCAACCTGCCCTATAGGGTTTAAGAGTCTTCATCATTTTGGTTTTTTCTTCTTAACAAGTCCCCTGGGGGATCCTGGTAAAGTTCCCTAAGAATCACAATTTATAAAACTGATATAAGCTTTCTTTAAAAATAAGATTCAGTAAGATTCAGCTTCATATATTGGATCTGGCTTATCATTCTTTAATGTATGTCAATCTGGGGACAACTGTTAACCTTGTTTTCTTAATTGACAAGGTAGTGACTAAAAAAATGACAGAAAAACACTTTTAGGTGTACAGAAAACTGAGGGAAAAGTATAGTGTCTGAATATCACCTTATCACCCACCCCACCCGCTATTATTAACACGATGCGTTCAGTTGTTACAATTGGTGATCCTATACAGACCCCTTCATTTAACAACCAACTTATGTCCATGTGACTAGGGTGTTCACTGAGTTAGTCATTAAATGAGGACTTGTATATGGCATGTACATTACAATATTCAGAACAAAGAAATGGTCAAAGGAAACTCCAACTTGATGACTTTGTTTTTATTTGCATAACTCTTACACGCAGTACTGTAGTGTAAACAATACAAAACACTACTGTACTGTGCAGCACAATCAGAAATACTACTAATAAGATGTCACAGAACCATGAACCTACTTGACTCTGTAAAAACTCCTGGTAAGGCCAAATGTCCTTGACAGTGAAACTGGCATTGATGGAGCCACTGCTCTGTCCACTTCTACAGTAAACATCTTGGAGGACAGAGAGACATATAATGTATGAAGTAAAGGAGCTCACTAGCCAGGACTGTAAGACCAAAATTAAACACGTAAAACAATCACAGAGCCAAGAATAACAGTGATAACCGACTGTTGAATTGTTTCCTATGGTTTGAAGTGTATAATAACCCCTGAGAAAATATGTGCACCCCTGCGATCTGAGACATTTCTACACATCAAAAAGTTTCAAAGGTAACGCCACTTCCAAAGAGTTTATTTATTCCTGAGGATTTATTTACCGCCAAATGAATCAGTTTTATTATCACCTGAGGAAGTGTTGGAAGCAAATAGTACTCAGAAGTGAGCCCAGTAGAAAGAGCGCACTGATACATGTTTCTGGCCGTTTGGCACAGCTGCTCTGCCTGTATCATAGGTGATCAACAGGTCTCATAAGACCGTGCTCCAAATCGCTCCCTACTGTATCAAAACAGGGAAACTATATATTTTTTGGCTATCGAGGCATGAGGTTGTTTTGCTTGTTTCACTTCGATAGCCAAAAAATGTTGGGTAGTTTATTTTCCCCCGGTATCAGACATTATGGATATAACACATATTTTGAAGACATTTGTCTTTTCATGAATGTTGTGTTTATTTGCACAGCATGCTTAGTGAATGTGCGTAAGATACAATAGGCTACAGGAATTCCTCATTTCACAAGCGAATCCTGTTCTTGTGACTACATTGTTAAAGGAGGAATTGCATATGCTGTGTACATGGCAATACTCAGAACAAAGAAGTGGTCAGAGGAAACTCCAACTTGATAACGTTGCTTTTATTTACATAAGTCTCACATGCAGTACTGTAACATATATAACAAAACATAAAACTTCAGTGCTCCACTGTGCAGTACAATCAGCAAAAACTACAGTACTGTATAAGCATGGCGTACTGTACAAAAAAGACATTGAGTTTCTAGAAACAAGATGTACAGAACTATACAAAAAAAAAAAAAAGATGGGTCGTAAGTCTCAGTGGCAGATCGTATGTCTGAACAGCGAGTCCTCATCCACAGTCATTAAGCAGGTAGGTCGTTACACAAGGAATATCTGTACTGCATCAGACAGTAACTTCTGAAATGGCAAGGCCAAGGTTGCCCAGATATTAGTGGCTGGGCTGAGTCTGGGAACGAACCCACACCCACAGACTGAACGAGGTCCTGGGTAGTTTCTCAGTGATGCTGCCTGCAGATTAACACCTTAATGACTGTAATTGTTCTGCTTCAGTATCAGCACACAATCGGCCACAGGGCCATTTGGCTAAGCGCATTGGTTGGTGCTTGGGATTGCTGGTGTTTGTCCTGAGTCCATCTTAACTTTCCTTCAACCTGGGACATAACCATTCATGGCTTAGTCTTAGGTGTGTAAATGGAGGAAACCCAATAAGCATTAATTAGCTTACACCTTGACTCTTTCCAAAGGGTAATGGGGTGGGGTAACGATATTAACGCTAAAGAACTGCGCTAAGTTAGAAGACGCTTGAATCTCCAAACCAGGCAAACCAAAGGATGTTTCATTCATTCTCAGAGACAAGGGATAGAATTTGGGGTGGGGTGGGCTTAGCTCTTCTAAAGCTTGAGCAGCAGCTGGCAAGGCCCTCCAGAGAGAACTTCTTAAACCATCTGCGGTGAAGAACCAGTCATTTCTGTGCCACATCTGCCAATCTGCCAACACCCGTGCCAGGTGTGTGACTCACCAGCGCTTCCGACAACACCCAAACTGGTCGGTTCAAGGAGTCCAGCGACCACGTGGCAGTGGGAAGTAGCTCCGGGAGTTTCTAAGCCTTCACTACTTCGTCTGCGCGTCAAAGAGATCTATATCTGCTCTGGGCCTGGTGCCAGCATCGCAGGGGCCTGGGAGGCCTGTTAAGAACGCAGTCACCCCGTGGAGTCTCCTCTGCGCTTCAACAAGATCCCGGGGCGACTCCCAGGGCCCTACCGTTTGAGGATCCTCCCTAGAGGAAGCCAGGACCCGGTTCCAGGTGGGCTGGAGTATGAATCCATCTCCATTTTCAGACCTTATCAGGCGTGGCCCCTTCCAGTTTTCAAAACCACACTTCCGCGAGGCTATGCGTTTAACCTGATTGCAGGGGAGAAACTCCACACGGGAAAGCAACTTCCAGAAATTCTGATTAGCCTCGGCTTCTGCTTTGATCCGCCCTAGCTCCGCGGACCGCACTTCCTCTCCTGGGACGGCCCGTCCGCGGAGCGGCACCGATGAGATGGGTGCCCAGGCGGCTGCACGGTCCGCTCAGATCAAAGGCGTTGGGGACCTCGCCCGCCCGTGACGACTCGGCCTTCGTCCCCGGAGGGAAGCGCAGAGTCGCCCGCCAGGTGGAGCGAGGATCCTGGGTCCTCGCGCCCCGCCCACCTCACCTCCCAGCCACCTGGGGCGCCGCGCGGGCGGGACCTGGGCGGGGTGGGCGGGCACCTCTTGGGCGGGGCTCCGGGGGCGTGGGCGTGGCGTGGGCGTGGCTCCCGTCCGCGAGTCCGGGCTGGAGGAGCCGGCAGAGCTGTCCCGCACTGTTCCCCGCGGCGCTGGGCTGGGAGAGCCCCTCGCGCTCCGTGGCCCGCGGTGCCCCTGCTGGCCCGAGCGCCCCGGCGGGTCGAGGGGGAGGACACGCGCCGCCGAGGCTCCCCAGCCCCGGGGAAGAATGTGCCGCCAGCTGTTCCCGGACCGCCGGCGCTTTGCCCCGAAGTGAGAAAGTTGGAGGGAGGAGAGACAAAGGCTGCCTTCGGGACGGATGAGTTAAGAGACTTGGGTTGGGGCGGACAAAAGGTGAGGAGGACGCCGAGGACGCGGCCGATGGCGGCGGGGCGGCCCCGCGGGGTCGGGTGCCCGAGACTCGCGCCGTGACGCGCGTGGCGATCGCCGGCTCCTGCGGGCTGCGCGAGGCAGGAACAATGGACAACTTCTTCCCCGAGGTGAGTCCGCGGGCGGAGGCGCGCGTGGCCTGCGCGGGTGGCGGAGCCCGGGCCCTGCCAGGTGCGTCCGCGGCGCGGGTGCGGAGCGCTGCGGGAGGGTGCGGGCCCCGCCGCCCGGGCGCAGGAAGCCCGGACCGAGTGCGGCGGGGACGCGCTCCCTGCGAGAGTCTGCTTTGGCACTTCCTCTGCACAGCGTGCGGGCTTCCTGTGCTGGGCGCGGAGGCCTGGAGAGGGTCGCTCTGAGGCAGTGCGAGCAGGGGCGGCGAGGCTGCCTCAGCCACCCGTCTCTGCCTGTTGGACCGGGGAGTGTGGGATCCGAGCTCCCCAAGAAGTGCTGTTGAGGTTTGGGATGGTTCCAGAGCAGAGGCTCAAAAGATCCCGCGTTTGTGCTGACTCCCCATACTTGGCAAAGTTTGAAACTGAAATTCAAAGAAAATTCGTTTAAGGCAAACAGTGGTTTTTCAAGAAATGGAAAGGAAGAAAAAAGAGAGAAACTGATGCCCCGTGGGGTCACCGAGGGCCGGACACCAGTGACTCGGAACTTGGCTTGAGAACTTTCTCCCCCTCGCTGGGATTAAGACTTAGTGTGGTTTCTTGGCTCCCTTTCCTTTCTTGGTTGTGTTTATTTAACAAATTCTAAGTTTGAGGTTCGAAGTGGCTCAGAGTAAACTGAGCTGACTTGAGGGAGACCGATGTGATTTTCGGCGGCTGTTCTCTGCACCAGGACAGTCTTGGAATCTTCCAGCAAGTCAGGTTTCGAGGCTTTGCCTCCGCGGCGGCGGCCAACTGGCTTAATTGGATTGACTATTTCAAGTCAGTTTACTTCGTACCCAGGTGTTGAATGTGTTCTTGTGTAGTAGTACTACCCGGTTTTGCAAAAGTGGGACCTCAGATGTGAGACCCCGGTTCATCACGAAAGGTAGTCTGGGAAGGAGTTAATCATCCACCAAGAAGTATTTTTTACTTAAGAAGTACATTTAATTATGAGACTGTAGCATTTTCTAATCCATTGACCTTCGTTTTCATGCCTGTAATTTGAAGGCACCCGACTTTTTGCCTGTGGCGCGCGGTAAATGACCCCTGGACTCTTTTTAAAATTGCTTCCGCTTGTGAGAAGTCTGGAGCTCTGCCTGTAGGGCTATGATTCTTAGCTTTGCTTCTGTTTGTTTTTGTGTTCTGGGACCTTAGAAAATATAATGAAAACGTGGAATTTGTATCCGTTTGCTGGGGTCTCAGACCTCCTGAAGGCTGCGGATCGCGGGGGGTCCTTGGGCTCCCCTTGGGGATAACTCTGCCCCCTAGTGCAGGTGGGGGGAACTTCAGAGTAATAGACTTGAAAGTACACAGTGTTCTTTTAAGGAGACCTGGATGTTGGATTTTATTTCAGTGGTTAATACATTATTGAAGTTGGCCTTTGTCGATCATCTACTGCATCCCCTTCGTTTTCTAGATGAATAATATTGACACAAAGATGCTAGGTCACTTGCCGAAAGTTGAAGAGCTGTTACAGAATCGAGAGCCTTTTTTCTTTGCTGCTGGTGACTTTTTTTTTTTTTGGTACCGGGGATCGAACTTGGGTCCTTGCGCTTGCAAGGCAGGCGGCGGAACCACTGAGCTAAATCCCCGGCCCTGTTGCTGGTGACTCTTATGTTTTCGGGACTCTTTTGTGTATTTAAGGTTACGCTTAATGTGGTAATGCGTTTGTGTGACAATGTTAATTTCTAATCAACCTCCAAAATTCCACCCCTTAAACACTTTATCAGTCACCTTAAATGAAAAATGTTAATGCAGACCCGCTCCTACCTTAACACAGACTCCGTCTCTCTTTCTAAAGTCCTGGAACAAAACATCCTTCTGTGGAATGGTGACGGGAAGGAAAAGTTAGAATGCCCTGAAAGCGATACAGTTCCAAGGACTACTAACTTGTAGGGCCTCCTTATCTCTAAATAGTATCCTGTTGTTCTTTTCTAACTTTTCCCACTGTGATTTAGGGCTAAGACTGGCTGCTTGTTGGACAACAATTTAAAGCTCATACTAAGGACTGGGGGAAAACTGCGAATGAGATGTTACATGTGTCGGCTTTATGTATGGGTACGTTTATCGCTTCTCGGCCTTTTGGCTAAGATCAGGTGTATGTATGGGTACGCTAGCCAGCTAATAGGGAAACTGGAGCTGCTTGTGAGTCACAGCTGCCACTTGGAGCTAAACCAGGCTTTCTCCAACTGGGTACCGTTGACATTTGGGGCCCATGTGTTGTTTGTCGTGCAAGGCTGTGCTGTGCCGGACACTGAGCAGCATCGCTGGCCTCAGTTCACCAGATGCTAGTAGCCTGCCCCTCTCAAGAGGTGACACCCCCAAATGCCTGCAGACTTTGCCAGGTGAACCCCAGGAGCGAAATACTCCCAGCTGAGCCCACAAGCTGGGCCCTGGAAGCAGCTGCCTAGAGGTGCTTTTTTGGTACCGGGGAGATCGAACTCAGGTCCTTGCGCTTGCGCAGCAGGCGACGAAACCATTGAGCTAAATCCCCAGCCCTGCCTTCTTGTCCACACTTGCCTGTTTTAAGTGTAATCTGGCACCTTACTGCCGGCTGGCGGCCAGGGGAGGCCTGGAGGCTGGTGCCTGTCAGCTGATGCTGCTGCCCACTTTTAAACCGCGCTTGGGCATTGGAGACGGGGATTGGAGACACGGAGAGAGCCAAACCCTGCAGTCTGGTTTCAGTTTCTTCCCGGCTCTCATTAGATTTTACGGCTTCTCTTGAGTTCATTGTGCTTGCTAACTATTGGGAAGCAGGTTTTTTCAGTGCTTCTAGGTAGGTTGTGAAAAAACTGACTGAAGGCAGAAGGTGGAGTTTGGCTTTGTCTATAACCAGAAGCAATGAAAAAAAAAGTCCAACAGAAAAGGTTCAGCCAGCCAAGTGGCCGCTGTGCTGACTTGTTGATGTTTGGAAATGGGCACTGTTTCTGTGTTCCCAGGGCCATGTACAAAGCCCTAAATACAGCAGGGGCCAGTGATTTCCTACTGAACTTGGCTTTTCCATTTTCTATTTTAGGCACAGGCCTGGCATGATGCCTGTTCAAGTGCAAGATCTTTTCAGTATTGTTAATGAGGCCTCAGTGAACACTGGTTTTTCAGAATAAATATGTAAAATGTACACAAGTAAGACACTCTGACTGACAGATATGGAAGGCAGGTATTCGTCTAGTGAGGGATGAATTGTTAGTAAGGCAGTTTCCTTTGCATTTCTTCTGGACGGCCTGCTTCCATTTGGATTGGAGCAGGCTCTGCTGTAAAGATGGTCAAACAGCCGCCTCCTTCCCACTTATTTGGGAAGGCTGCACAGTTTGGGGTGCTGCATTCGGTGGTCTGAATAGCTTCTTAAGCTAGAAATAGACTTCCCAAGCCTGTCTCCTCCCCGGTCTCTCTTTTTTTTTTTTTTTTGTATGGGGGATCGAACTCGGGACCTTTCATTTACTGACATTCCTTTTCTTGTTGGAAGGCAGTTGAGACATTGTTATTTTTGGTAGGCTCCCCCCTCATCTCTCAGTGTGTGAAGAGGAAGAACTCTCTTGTTTGTCATCTTAGAAGACAGTCACTTTGACCACTGTGAAATCCTGTGAGGACACAGGGTGGGCCCCCTTTTCCCTGGGTAACAAAGAGTTGATAGAGCCCTGCCTTTTTTGCATAGTCCAGAAGAATTTCTTTTGTCAAGTACGCATTTTTTTTTTTAATCTTGTCCCTGCCGTAGGGGACAGCAAAGCCACGAGAGCAGCTGCAGTCGGACAGTTGTTGCTAGCAGGTGTAGGAAGGCTGCTCCGAGAGTCACATGTGCACTGTTCTAGCTCTCTTACCTGTCACCAAATCAGGCACCAGCCAGCCTGGGCAGAGCCTCCCTGTTTAGCCAGAGGGTGGAAGCCAGGCAGTGTTTGCTTTTCCAGCTCTGCTGGCTGTAAGGAGGGGTCACCTTGGAGGACACGAACCTCGAATATGCTTCTCTGCTGCTGCGGTCAGTAGGATTTGGGTACCTTATTTTTAGTGGGTTTCAAATTTTTGGATTCAGAGTAAGTGATACGTAACATTTTCATGTCACTAATTTACAGGGGACTTTCAGGGAGGGGCCGCCAGTGAAGTCTATATTAAGCTTGGCACCATTTCCCGGCCCTAAATGTTCCTTGGCCGGGTGGAAAGCGCCCCCTGCTTAGCAGTAGAAGCCCGGCTGTGTCCGCCCCTCGCCCCCTTTGGGATCCCAGCTGCTGTTAAATAGCTCCCTGAGAAACGCTTCATTACCTTGTCCGTATCGGGGTCCTCCCAGGTGGGAGCACCCCTCAGTGCAGCAGTCATTTCCCTCGAGTGTAGATTTTTTTCTTGACAGGGAGATGCTTCTAACTCTTTTACTTCATTGTGAACGTTTCACCTTTCTTTGAAGACAATAGTAATGTTTACGCAGGGCTCACTCTGTGGGCCATGCTATTAAGCACTTGACCTTCAGTCACTCATTTAGTCCACTTAACATCCCAACCAGCAAGGCTCTGTAATTCTGTCTACTGCATAGATGAAGACAGTGAGCCCAGAGCAGTTAAATAACTGGTCCAGTGTCACACATCGAGAAAGTGAGCTGCTTAGGATCTGAACCCAGACACACAGTCTCAGAAAGGTAGAGAGCTTTTCACGACCAGGCTTTGCCATCCTGTGAATTTCCTCTAAACCTGTGTCATCTTTTCTAGGCTTGTTGATTTTGGAGTTGAAAACTGTGGAATTGGGGGAAACAAGTTATCCTCTCCCCAGAGACATTGACAGTCTAGCAAGAAAAAGATTATCAGCTTGGGAACCTGGCTGAGCCTCCCTTGGACTTGCTTTTTACTTCTGCCTCCTGAAAGGCCGCTTCCAGAGCTGCCTCAGGAGGGTCTGGGGAGATTTACATAAACAAGGCGCTTAGAAAATGAGATTTCTGAGAAGTGTGCAGTTTTTAAAGGGAAAGGGAGGACTTGTTTGTTTCTAACCAT